CCGCAAACTCCACGCTTAAAAGTGTTTTGAAGAGGACAAACTTTCATAAGCACTGTAAAATTTAGAGATAACTTTATTTTTTATGTAACTTGTAGGATATTAGTTTGTAACTATTAAGGTTCTTTGTGATGAGCAATTTAAACCAACAGCATTCTCTGTCGCAACTTGGGTCCCGCAGTGGACTGATCGTTAAGACACGATTCCCAGCAGGTCACTGAAGTCAAGCATTACTGGCTGTGGTCTGTAAGCGGGTGAGTTACTACTTTGATCAGCCTACGTAGGGACCATGGAGCACGGTATCGGTCTTCGTTAAACTGTGCTACGGTAAAGTGCTCGACTTCGCGCCCAGGTCTCGCACTTCGAAAGCAGAGGAGCGATCACCTCTGCAGAGGATGAAAAAATGCCAAGGTATGAGTTTGGATCATCCTCAGGCATGTTTCCTAGACCGTACCCCATTGTACAGCTCTAGAGCGACGCAAATAAAGTACCAAAAAAAAGTACTTCGAGATATAAATGANAATGAGAAAGAAAGTCACCGGTTTTATTGCTTTATTGAAATTACATATATTTGCAGGCTTGTTTTCTCAATTTAGGCTTATAAACCAACGTCAAGTAGAAGGACAGATAGAACAGTTTAAATAAGGACATCACAAAGAATGCATACAGGGTTACAGCGGGATTCGGACCCGCCACCTTCACGTTTTACACAGCGTTCGGCGCGCAATACCCCTGGGCTAGGGAGGCCCCGAAAGTCAGCGGTTCCGCCTTCAAAGCCTCTCACACTCATTGTGTTTAGCTCTTACAATTGAATAGCATGTTAAGGGATTCATAGAGGTAAATTCTTTTAACGAGGACCCATACCGCACACTCACAGTCCCTACGCAGACTGATCCAAGTGGTCACCCACCCGCACACTGACAGCAGTCAGTGATGCTTGACTTCGGTGACTTGCTGGGAACCGTGTCTCTCACAAATTGTCAGAGATCATATCTATAGTAGATTAGTTTTTTTTGTTTTGTTGAGGGGATGAAGGAGAGGTTGCTTCAATTTAAGTGCTTGCTTGTTGATCTTTAGAGAATCATTACAAGTATTTTTCTTAGTCCGTCAGTCCTTGGGATCTGCCTAAGTAGTCAGTTGGAAGCGTCCATTAAAATAAACGAAACGAGCTACACATCTGTTACCGCAAGCCACGCGTTGCAATAAGCACACGTGTTAGTTAATGTAGCATATGTGTTACGATTAATGTGAATAGTCTGTTATTATTATAACTAACCGTTCAATATTAATAACAACCAAATAAACCGGTTAAAGGGAATAATTTAAGCGAATTCATCACATTAACCGGTTTTTATTAATAAAAACTAATGAAGTTAGGTCAATGTCATTCTTTCGCGTTTTTATTGGGGATATTTCCGTGTCGTGATCTGCCAGGCCAACTACAATCTCCAAATTGATTTCAAAGTGGAATTTTTTTTAAACAAAAAAGAAAAAACAAGCTTGTAGATGTTTCCCCGGGGGTTGCCACGAGTTATTCCCGTCAAGTTGGTCCTTTCCTGTGATTTTTTTTTTCAGTTTCTCGCGGGCTGCTGCCCAGAAGATGGCAAGATTTGGCGATTATTCAACCGCAGATCACGATACGGAAGATCTCTCCGTTCTATTTTTCCCTTTGATCAAAAGAAGCGGTTATTATTAATATTGACCGGTTAGTATTAATAATAACCGTATCTACCACTTTAGCCGTAACATATGTAATATACAAAGAGGCACACCCCTCTGTCCCAATGCAATATAAACCGTTTAATAACATTGTTATTACTTATTATTATTAATAACCGGTTAAGGGGAATAATTTGCAATTTTTCTCACTTTGACCAAAAAAAGGCGGTTATTATTAAAATAGACCTTTTAGTATTAATAATTACCTGATTTATTACTTTAATTGTAACATATGTACAATAAATTATTCAAATTAACGGAAGTAAATGTTCATGAAAATGTAGAAGTACATCAATGTTTTTTATTCATTTATTTTTGCCATTATTCCCATTAACTACTCCCATTTACAGGTTGATTTCAAATATTATTTATAAGAAATAAAAATTTCATGCAATAAAGCGGAAAAAAAAATCGAAAATAAACGCTTTATCAATATGAACTTTTGTTTCTAAATACTATAGTTTGAATTTTTAGGCAAGTAGAATGCTATTTTAATTTCAGGACAGATGAAAAGAGCAAGCTCAGATAGCAAAACTATCTGAAAAGCACTTCCGAGTGTCCACTATCGACAACGAGTATTAAACGTAGCTAACGTATATAACAAAAAATTATTTATTTTAATTCAAAGTGAAATATTGTTAGCGTCGCATAATTAGTTTAGCAAAAAGTATTAGATCTGATTTTCTAATGAAATTCTGATGTTTTAATTTTTTATGAATGCGAATAAACTATGTGTTTGTTTTTTATTTTATAACCATCGTCAAACAGCAGTCCCAGTTTTGCGTTTACGACTACTAATGATCAACTCCGTAGCCTTGTAATTTTGAACCCAACCCAGAAAACAAGGGAAATCCTGGATCAGTACCACCAGAGGTATGATTTGTTAGCGGAACATGAAGGACTTTGTGACTAGACTGATTTAACGTGCACGAGTCACCATTTACAACACGGGGAGTCACGGCGAGACGACCAGTGGAGATTGAAACCACGACCTCTTGAACAAGGGTCCAGTGCCCTACCAACCACGCTATCTCGGCCTTATGTCCTTGTCTACATTTCTGATCAGTTTTGATGTATTTAAATTATAAATTTGTGCTTTTTCTAACGAATATCAGTATATATCAACAAAAATTTGCCGCTCAATTAATCCGTACCTTTGAGGAGTGGACAGCAGTTTCTGGAATTAGCAAGTGGAACCTGTAATAAAATGTCATGTCCTTATAATGTCACGAAAACTTCAAATCACATGCTTATTAACATCTTTTTTAGCCATAAAATTAAAATCTTCGGCAAATATAAAAAAATGTAAATGTTAGGCAAATAAGAAAAAGTGGACTAACAAAATTAATAAATTTTTATTAAACTATGTGGATTACGTTGATAATAAAAATGAACAGAATGTCTTCTTCACAACTAACTAACATCTTCTTAACTTTGTTCTTGTAATTTCTTCTTTTTTGAGTATGAAAGGTAATTTACTCACATACCTATTAATTAAAAAAAAAATCAAATAAAATATTTTCAAAATTTGATTGTTTAAAACAACGCAACTATTTTGTTAAACTTTTGAAAATTTCAATTCAGGAACACTATAAGCATTACTGGCTNAGACCAGATTGGGCAATACAACAAGACCTCATCTTTTAAAAATAATAATAATAATTTTATTATTATTGCGAACAACGGTTCTCCATTTTTCCCGTCTGCGGAACCCTAAATGATTGACTTTCTTTCCATTCTATTTCAAGTAAGGCAAGCCCGACAAGTATCAATTCTCTCAAGTGGCACATTCTAAATTCTTTCACAAAGATTTCAATTATGTCACTATATATTTACACAGAGACTTAACACAAAGACTGGCATGGAGCTATGTAGAACATAAACAACCTAATTATGCTTCGAAGTTGCCAGGCTTACAAAACAAAAATATATCACGGTTACAAAAAAATACATAAAAAAATAATAAATCTAAGTAAAAAGAAGTAGACAAGAAAGAATTATATTTCAACGAATTCGATACCAGTCTGTATCTAATTAACTTATCGTTAATTAACATTCTAACTTACGTGAAAAAATTTAGCTGAACTTTGACACGCCATTTTGTTTATTGACGATCACTTGGCGCTGACGTCATATGTTTGATCTTCTTCTTCTTCTCGAAGTGCAAGTACCCAATTGTAAACGTATTGACCGAAGAAAGACTACCAAAAATTTTGAAACTATTTGAGGTGCGGAATTAAAAAAATTTTTTTCATCGTTTTAACCTTTACAGCACAGCAGATTTTGAGTGAAAATTTTAAATAGGTAGCAACTGTGATTTTTAAGTAAAGAAATATATTTAAGCTCTATCCTGTTTAAAAATATTGGTTTCTAAAAAAACGATGCACGTTTAGAAGCAAAAAGTTTTAAATTTTTTGTGATTTGAAGTCTTTTTCGCCAGTACAGTACTTTTTTGCGGTACAGTGTTGCCAGACTGGCAACACTGTACCGCAAGGGGTTAACGAAAGGCATTTCAAATAGTTTAATTTCACAGGCTTCTTGTCTGGTTCTGAATTTGTATTTATTGCAGGCATAAACTAAAATTGAATAAAATAAGTTGAATTATGATTTTCATTGAAATGAATAAGAACTGTTGCAAACATTTGAAATGAGGTCGTCGAACTACCGAAGCGGGGGTGCCGTCCCCTCTGCAGAGGGTCAAAATTGTGATGGCATTTCTTCGGATCATCCTCAGGGATGTTTCCCCAACCGCCGCTAATAGCCCATTGTGCAGCTCTAGTGCGACGTAAATGAACTACAACAACATTTAAAATGGCTATCAGAGAAACACATTTCCCTATAGTTGAATTTTATAATTTCCTTTGTGTTAAAAAGTTTGATGGAAAATTCTAGTGTAATTATCATTATTTTTTAAAATCTGCTGTCTTTTTTACTGCCATTTTCCTTGAATAATTAAATACGATTAACCGAAATAAAAAATTAAAAATAAAATAATAGTTTGATATAAATATAATCACAGACTTCAAATTTGTTACTGATTTTAAAAAATACTTAACTCTCGGATCCGGTGATGAAACTATGCAACACTGGGGTTCCGCGGAACACCTTTTGGAAGCCGCTAAATTAGAACCTTGTTGTCCCTGGAATTTCGTTCCCATTTTACTACTGATGTCATAATTGATGAATTTAAGATTAAAAAATATTTAAAAAAAATACTTCTCTAATTATTGTTTAGACCTTTATTGTAATACGTATTCATTTGAAATTCTTTTCATATTATTCAGTACTGTGATTTTGGGCAAATTTAAATGATGCGTGAAAATTCAGTACTAGCAAATCGATTTACTACAGAGATGTTAATCCCATGAAGGTAATTATCCCTACAATTCTACTTATTATTTTAGTAATTACCTCGTTTGATTTTCAACAAAACACAAGTAATTTCGCAAAATTAAATATCTAGCGCCACGTAAATCCAATAAAGTACATGAAATACTTAAAAAAAATAATAATAATAATAAAAAGTAACGGCTGTGACGGCGTTTTTTCTTTTATGTTATAAAAATAAAAAAGTAATAAATGGTTGAACTCACGTGCGTTTGACTGATAAAAAAATACCATTATTAGAGGGTTATTCCATTTTGTATCCATCGGAAATTTATTTATTTATTCATACATGTTTCACTATTTACGATAAAGTCTGAAAATTTAAATACTGTCTGAACTTCAGCGTATGCCAAATCTGTACCATACTTTAAAATTAATTTTATTTTATAACCGTCGTTTTAGGTTTACGACTACCAAGGCTAAACTCCGCAGCCTTGTAATTTGGAAACCCAATCTTGAAGACAAGGGAACTCCTGGAACAGGCATTGGGACAAACTAGCCTTCGTGGAGGAATTTATGATGGAACTAACCCACATTTGCGTTACATCGAGAGGAAAACCTTCCACGGTTAGCCTGGCGGCAGGGCTTCTTTCCTTCAAGCCCTGAGCATGTACCTAGGCTATACGAAACACTTAACCATATAGCCCAGGACTTGGCTACTAGTCCACTCCAGCCAAGGAACGGGTCCAGTCAGCGGTATTAATTTTGATATGTACAAGACAATATTTGCAGCACGTAAATAGTTACAGTGTATAAATACAGTGGTATAGAAGGCTGCAAGGAGACCATGATCCATCTACCATTGATAATATTGTACGTCAGCACTGTGATCGGTTTGAGCCGGATGTAGAATCCGGGATTCGAATCCAGTTCACCTCATTGGGAGACGAGCGCTCTATCCACCTGAGCCATTTAAACTTCATAGCCATATACCTGATTATAACGGTGATTCTAGTGTTTCATAACTTATCTTTATGATTAGTATTCAGTATTTTCGCCAAATAAAATATTTAAGAATGCAAATGCCCATGAAATAACGTTGACGAAATTCCTATTTCTTTTAAGTAATCTTTTAAAATGTTATGTTTCATATTTATTAGATCTTTTTTTACTTTACTTACATTACACTATTAAGGTCAAATAAAGATTTTGAGTTCCAATGCATCATGAATTATTTGGAGTAGACAGATACGGTTTCAACCAAAAGCTTCTGTGTAAGCATCTGATCTCCATGAAGGATTCTACATCTTTTTTATTATTATCTGAATTAAAAAAAAGGAATTTTCTACATTTCATTTAAATCAATATTGAAATTCTTACTTTTTATTTACAATGGTTTCTCATCAGGGTTTCCTTGAGGCTTTTCAGGTTTATTAGGATCTTGACCAGGAACAGGAGGGTCTTTTCTTTCAGGGGATTTTTCAGGTTTCTTTGGATTTTGACCAGGATCTGGATTGTCATCAAAGTGATCAGACATTTCAAAGATCGAAAACTAAGAATTAAATAATCAAATATATTAAATTCAACTCAACTGACAGAAAATAAAAATTCGTTTTAAAATTGATTTCTTGCTTGTTAAACCAATGAATTTTAAGTGAGGGAATTTCTAAAACTTTTTTTCCAAGGGTGAACTCGATTAAAAACTGATGTTATTTCCGTTANTCAGCATTTAGTTCTAAGCGGAAATATGATTCTATAGATGAAATCATAAATGGTAGAAATGTTTATTTATAAATATAATGAAATTGCGTTGCGCCACGTATATACAAACATATAGTTGTATAATTAATTACTGCTCCATTTTTACGTTACTTGAATTAAAAAAGAAGTTGCGTTATATGAAACAATTAACGTGAAACTAAAACATACGGAAAATACAATTTATATATCTCAAGTAATTTTATTGTTCATTTAAATTAACAAATTTTTGTACAAACGAGTTCCACCGATCATTCCATAAACAAACACTACTTTCACTCGTATAAAAAAATAATAATAATAGCGGTTGAAGTTTAATCTCGTACGATTCGAGAAAGCGTGAGATTCATTGATTTGGCGGGTTAAGAATTCGCACGCCAAACAGTGCCAATTGGAGTGCCCCAGAGTTAGTCAAAGTGGAATATCGCGAACGGCGACAGGCAGCGCCGCTGCCTGTCGCCGTACACATCAAACTTGTACATATCAAAATTAATACCGCTGACTCAGCGGTATTAATTTTGATATGTACAAGACAATATTTGCAGTACGTAAATAGTTACAGTGTATAAATACAGTGATATAGAAGGCTGCAAGGAGACTCCAAACCATGATCCATCTACCACTGAGAATATTGTACGTCAGCACTGTGATCGGTTTGAGCCGGATGTAGAATTCGTATCGGCTGACCATCGTTGGGATTCGAATCCAGTTCACCTCATTGGGAGGCGAGCGCTCTATCCACCTGAGTCATTTAAACTTCATAGCCATATACCTGATTATAACGGTGATTCTAGTGTTTCATGACTTATCTTTATGATTAGTATTAGTATTCAGTATTTTCGCCAAATAAAATATCTAAGAATGAAAATGCCCATGAAATAACGTTGACGAAATTCCTATTTCTTTTAAGTAATCTTTTAAAATGTTATGTTTCATATTTATTAGATCTTTTTTTACTTTACTGTACCGAGTTCCAATGCATCATGAATTATTTGGAGTAGGTTTCAACCAAAAGCTTCTGTGTAAGCATCTGATCTCCATGAAGGATTCTACATCTTTTTTATTATTATCTGAATTAAAAAAAAGGAATTTTCTACATTTCATTTAAATCAATATTGAAATTCTTACTTTTTATTTACAATGGTTTCTCATCAGGGTTTCCTTGAGGCTTTTCAGGTTTATTAGGATCTTGACCAGGAACAGGAGGGTCTTTTCTTTCAGGGGATTTTTCAGGTTTCCTTGGATTTTGACCAGGATCTGGATTGTCATCAAAGTGATCAGACATCTCAAAGATCGAAAACTAAGAATTTAATAATCAAATATATTAAATTCAACTCAACTGACAGAAAATAAAAATTCGTTTTAAAATTGATTTCTTGCTTGTTAAATCAATAAATTTTGAGTGAGGGAATTTCTAAAACTTTTTTTCCAAGGGTGAACTCGATTAAGAACTGATGTTATGTCCGTTAACGGTTACAATTAAATATTGTTTTGTAGTTATCCAAATTGGCTCTTATCAAATGTTCACGTCCCGCAGTGGACTGATCGTTAAGACACGGTTCCCAGCAGATCACCGAAGTCAAGCATCACTGGCTACGGTCAGTGTGCGGGTAGGTGACCACTTGGATCAGTCTGCGTAGGGACCGAGGGTGTGCGGTATTGGTCCTC